ATAGTCTGAGAGAATGTTTCAAATCTTTTCGAGGTTGATAAGTCAATAGCGACGTACGTTTTGGGTACCGTCCGCCTCATCAGATCCACACGTCCCAGTAGTAAATCCCTACCGACAGTCGGGACAAGGTAGCGTTTGTCAATGAAACCCACGTGCATTTGCATTTTTACCATGTTTTCAAGACGAGAACTTTCTCTCAGACTTTACTGGATTTTTATAGCGAGTTATAGGAAACAGTCGATTGAAAGGCAGCGTCTAAATGCTTATTAATAGCCGTGTGCCATCGACTAAAAATATAATAAAAACCACAATATTGCATGGTTTCACCAAGGCACGTTTGTCCCGTCCCTACTATCAGCAGGAGAGACTGTTGAGAGTGTGGCTCTGATGAAGCGGGCGATACCGCAGCAACGTACGTAACGAAACGTAAATGTCAGCCTCGAGAAGAGTTGAAACGATTTCTCAAACTGTAAGGTAGGTTACATTTAGGTACAAAAATTACGCTCATTCAAAACCAGTTTTAACGTTCTCAACTCTTGTAAGCCCTTTCCTATTTTGTGAGCCAAAAAATAGTACAATTAACCTCAAGAAATCACTTTACCTTTTTCAAAGATGATCATTGATTAGTAAAATACTGACTTTAAGGCAACTCTGTTGTATATTGGTACGTCGTGGGTTGGTTATTCTTCTTCATCAATATTGTTGAGTACTGATAAAATTGTCTCCATCTAAGATTATTCTGGATAGATCTATCAGAATATTCAAGTCTTGAGTAAAAGCCGTCCATGATTATCGCTAGGAACTTTTTTCAAATAAGCTTGGTACGAAACGCTGTCCACTGAGCGACATGGCTCTACTAAGCAGCTGATAGCTTTTCAGCTTTGCTATTCTCGCGCTTGACTGAGCTAATGAGCTGTAAACAATTGACATAATTCTTATTTATGTATAATTTCGTCAAATTTATTTGTTACGTTGCTGTCTCAATCACTTTTCAGTGATTTACTGAATTCTTTATTCAACAAAATTTCTAAACGTATCTTAAATAAGTTTTTTTATGAGCGAATTTCTCTGGTGTCAATCTGCATTTGCATTATTGGCAATCAAAAATTACTTGTGTTTCTGTTAGTTTTATTACTATTACCAATTGCTACTAGTATCCTTACTCCTATATCATTATATTTTTTGTGATTTCTATCTACATTTTTGAACACAAATACGGCATTGGAGCGCACCGAATGTACATTGGGCAACTGTCCTGTACTCTTTCGTAATTGCAGTGCCCAGAATTCAGGACTTGTAAGAGAAGAGATAGAAAGAATACGTTCCTACGTTCCGCTAGTTTCAGAAAATCAGAGTTTAACCTTTTTTAAAGTTTCAAAGTTTCGTTCTTGTTGCACTAAGGCTTTTACATTTCAACAAAGTTTTCAGTCAATAAAGCTTGGTGCGAGATAAATGTATTTGCTCAGAGTTGAAGGTGAAGTTATTTTTTGGCCTTTGCGTAGTTTACAGTGCACATCGTCCTTTTCTTTCAATGAGATTTGATCTATTCCATCTCATAGTTCAGTCAGTTTTCAGTCAATAAAGCTTGGTGCGAAACCTTTTCCAGTAAAATCGGTACTGCTTTGAAAGAATTTAGTTGCAAGGCTGCAAATCTTCCTTCAGTCCACAGTGACCGATGAATGCTTGTCTCTGTCGAGAGATAAGAGCCTGCTATCTCAAAGATTTATAAAGTTCATGCTATCAAACGAGGTGAGAAGCAGATGGTTTCTTGAGAAACAGCCGTACCCACACAAGAACCAACGAACGACGAATACAAAGTAATGAAAACAATGTACTGTAAAAAATGCCTTTTCGTCATTTGAGGGCGAGTTGTGTTGTTGATAACTGAACATTACTTGAGCTTATCGAAATTATCAGGTATCACTAGTATTGATTTTTGAACTTCAATATCGATTCAACTTATTTTTTTGAAGAATGTTGAAGAATGAGTGGTGATGCGAGTGTACCTCAGTGGTGTAAAACTAGGACGCGTCCCCCGTACGAATGAAACGCTGGTTCAGCTCCCGTCTGGAGTCGTATTTTTGCTCACCACTCAATTCTCTAAGGAATATGTGGAACTCTTAACACTGCAAAAATGCAGTAAAAATACTAGAAATTTGAATCATCACTTTTTTTGAGTTTTCTCAACAGTACTGCAGCTGTTTTTACTTCAGTTTTCACTAGTGTGGCGACTATTAGATTTTTTTTCAATCGCAAATAAACCTAATTACATCGAGGCTTAATGAAATGCGAATTTTCAAAACATGCTTATTACTTTCGTCATTTCATGGTCACAACTGATGTGATTACTGTTAGTGCTATTGTTACTTACTTTAATATGTTAGGACAACACGTCTTTACAAGTAAAAACGAGTCTTAGCACTTCATTCCGCGTTTCTTGTGCTCTTTGAACACATTCATTTTGTCGCTCGTATTCTTTTTTCCGTTCAAAAAGTGACGATTTTGCCAGCAAAATGAAGATTTGATTGGAATTTTCAGTAAGTGCGCATGCCCTTGCTGTCCGAGTCCAGTGAAATTGTCATACGTTTTATTACGGTGATGAACAGCACGATTGCAACGCTCCAACCTCGTTGAATTACTTTTCCCACTAAGTAGTAAATTTTTGATGGAAGAGTTGTTTCTATTTTCGCGTTGCAGTTGTGATATCAATTAGCTATAGTTCTTAAAAGATACAACTGCACTCTGTGATTGGCAAGCTCTGATTGAATGCCATTTGTCTTGACGCTATCGGACACTTTTCTTTGTCGGAAATGGTTGAAAAAACTGAGTGATATACTTTATAGAAGTCCATCAAAACTGATATACTTCGTAGAGTTCTATTATGAATGTAAGATTTCGATATGGCGGCCCCTACAACATGTTTCTTTCCGGTATCTACTTGCTGATGAACTTATTCAGCCTCATACAAAATTCACGTTTATACTATAGAGGGAGATTCCGGAAAAGGTTGCGAAGTCCTTCAAAAGGATAAGGGATAAAGCTCTCCCCGTTGATCAATCCCTGAGGGATGCGACATGTACTTGTCTTCAATTCCAACTTCCTTTGAGGTGATTGGATGCATATCAGGCCTGCACATTTTTCGCTAAACGGATGAATTCATGTGATTTCAGATCTCTCTTCAGCGTTCTAGCTTATGACTTTTGCCCGAACACAGCAATGTTAATGCTCAAAGCATAAAGAAAGCGCTTGGGGTTGATTGCATAAGGTACGCATAATGCGTTTTAACCACTGTAGAGGCAAGTGTAAGCTTATCTAGTCCATACAATGAGTAAGGTGCTTCAGTTGATGTGCCAATTAAGTCCTTCTATGCTTCCAGACAAACTCGGTGCCATTTTCCAACTGTTGGACGGTTTAAGGGATGCAGGACGATGGATCCGACTAAAGATAACGTGCTGGTTGCCCGATATGCACTGAACATGCCATCTTACTCATCCATATATGCGTGAATACATCTTCGTATGAAAATCTACACGAAAAAGGAGATGAGATCGCTTTCAAGAAATGAGCTCAATCCTTTTTTGGAATAGAGGCAAATCTGAAATATACTCAACGTTGATGGCTGGATCCAGTGTGCGCTATCCGTGGCTACCCGTTTCTCAAACAACAGTGATTGGTACGAAAAATTCTATGCTGATTGTGCAGCTTGAGCTGAGCCAAACCAGTTAGCCAAATTTTGCATCAGACGGGATGAATAGAGACATCATAGATAGGAGAAACCCGAATGTTTTTTTGTACTTGGCAGATTTCTTGCTCATCTGACATCATGTATATATATATATATATATATATACGCGTCTGTTTGCACATATATATATATATATATATATATAAATCTACATATGTCTCTCTGCACTTCTATGTTAGTGTATGTTCTGTAAATATCTGTTTGTTTACGTCTTTATGTGTGTTTGTGTCCATGCGCATATGTTTAGTTTATTTCTGAGTTTGTGCGTTAGTGACATACATGTGTATATGCATATGCACGCATATAAACGTATTCGCTTACTTGTGTATAGAATTTCATGCTTGATATATATATATATATATATAGTCCTTACGTATGTAAACATATATATGTGAATACGTATATGCAGGTGCATATATATAATATATGTAATATATATAATATATATAATATATATAATATATATATAATATATATAATATATATATTATATATATTATATATATTATATATATTATATATATTATATATATAATATATATACATATGTATACGAATATGCAGATGTAATCACATATATATGCTTATACTTATATATGTGCACATGTTTATACATATATACATGCTATATGTATCCATACATATATGTATAAATTATGCATATATATATTAATATGTGAAATTAGCGATTTATTCGCGTCCATACTTAATCCTGCACAGCACTGTGCCGTGATTAGATGACCGGTTTCTGTACAGCGTCAGAGTTTTCGGAGCCAAATAATTTCCTGATTTTTTATAGCTAACATTCTACACTGAATCCTGTTTGAGGTTTTTCTTAGAGGTTTCGGCTGTCACAGCTGCTAAATATGGTTACTGGATGGTTGTTGTTATTTTCATTTATCGGCTGTTTTTATCTTCGTCGTAAGATTTTTTGATTTTTTATTTTTCTCGTTTTCTGTCTATTACATAGTAAACTTTTGTGGAAGAAAACCCTATTTGATGAGTGTTAGTTGAATTCTACAAATGATCAGTTGCCTTTTCGTTAGTTGGCAAAGGACAGCACTTCATTGTGAAATAATGTGCAAATGTCTTTCTAATAAAAATCTTTCCCATGTCACCTATCGAATCCCGATATCGCAATCCCGAGACGATCCGCTGAATTATCAAGCATACGCCTATGTGAGCGGAGTTCCATAGAATTCAGTAGTGTAAACGATTCTGTTCAACATAGGATGCTGACCATATGCGAAGCTTTGGACCTAGACGAGAGTTGAACCTGCGTTTCACTTATACCAGAGGCGTATGCTACCATTACATCACCAAGGCCATCGTCCTGCTACCGCGTAGGTGTTATCAACCAACGTCAACGGACTTGGCCTAGTAAGCACTTATCGGCATTGAACCCAGTAAGCTGGCAGCATTGGATATAACAGACATAGCTGTCGGCTTAACTGGGCTTAATGCTGAAATGTGCCTACCAGACCAGCCCTTTGAGGGTTGGGTGCTAACAGCTGCGATGTCTTATATCGTAAAAAAAGTGATGGAAGAGCGGAGACCTCAATGGTGTAGTAGTGGCTCACGCCTCCGTTATGGATTGGGTTCGACTTCGGTTTGAAGTTCAAAATTTCGCATGTCACTCAGTATCCTCCGATACAGAGCTATAGCATCATAAACCGCTATGAGAGCAGCAAAATGGAGAAATTTCAATTCTGCCTGAATTTTCTTCCTCTTCTGAATCCATGACACTTTCCAAAAAATAATCTTTGGAGTTTTCGATCAAAAACGTTGTTAAGCCAATACTTTTCTTTTTTTTTCCAACATCACCTTGCTTGTAACTGTTTATGCGAAGAGAATGAAAGCGTTATGTGTTATCAAAATATGGAATCAAAATAAAGCCGCTTGAACTCCCATATCCACGTGAAGAGTTGACTGTATTTCATTTTTATCGAGCCATTTACCGTCACTCATTCGTCACTTCTGAGTTAGAATTTACTTGCGAGAAAATCTCCGTTGAATACTTCGTCAAAAGTCTATTCATGTTCTATGGAAATATATTACTATTAAGTTACTAGGCTTACAACAATGCCGTTTTCATTTGTTTTCACTTGTATAGAATATTTCATGAAGATCTTTTGCAATGATCAGTTCTAGAATTTCCTAGAACGTTCATAATATTAGGCCGGTGAGAAAGTAATTGCGGTGAACGCTGTTGAAATGCGTCGTTTAATATTGGAATATATTCTCAAGTAAATGTGACTATGTTATACATCATTTGAATGCACATTTCTTAATTTAAGTTTTTCTCAGCTTTTTTGTCTTATTTTGTAAACGTTTGCTTATATTCAATTCAGATCATAGAAAATATGTTCTAAAAAAAGCAAGTTCTAGCGATTTTCTTATTCAAGTTCAAAAAGGGTCGTTAAGCAGAAGAGGCACCTCATAATATCAACAACGCATGAAACGCAATTACTTTTGCACCAACTTTACCAGAAGTTATGAGAAAAGCGACCATCAAAGCTGATCCTCTTAAGACTATACGAGATGTTGTAGAGGAACTCAACGTCGACCATTTTACCAATTTTCGTCATTTGAAGCAAATTACAAATGTGACTGGGGTTCCCGCACGGTTTGAAACCGCATTTGCTTTTGCACCCACCTAGTAGTTGTAACATCAAAACACTTTTGTGAGAGTGGTGAGATAAAGAATATCTAATATTGCCTAAATTTTCTTTCATCAAGTTTCTATAGCTCTCTTCAGTAAAAAAATTTTGATTAGAAACGTTGATCCTTTGTCAACGTCACCTTGCTTGAGTGTCCATGGGAAGAAAACGAAAGCATTATGTGTTATCGAAACATGGGATCAAAATAAAGCCGTCTGAATACCCATACGCCACGTGAAGACCTAGACTGCAATTCATTCTTATCGAAAGTCATTTTGTCATTTTTCGTCAGTCATTTGTGACTTTCAAGTCAAAATCTACGAGAAAATCTTTATTGAATGCTTTGTCAGTAGTTGAGCGATGTTTTATAAGAATATATTACCATAAGCTGGTACGCATACAACAATAATGTCGTTTTGATTCGTTTTTTGCCTGTCTAGACTATATGACAGAAGCTATTTGTATCAACTAGTTCTGCAATTTTTTAAACCTCCGTAATATTAATTCAAAAGCAGTCCATACGGTGGTCTTTTAGTTGGTAATAGTGCCTTTTGATCAAATCAGCGCTACGGCATCCTATTACTTTGAATTTCATGCTGAAAATTTTACGAGCTCTGCTTTCAAAATATATGTGCATGAATAATAAACGATGCCATTCATCACTCTGCCGATCCAGATAGCTTAGATTTTGCTCATTTGTCTGTTCACTTGATTATGAGTGATATTAGAAAGAAGGCGAATTTCGCTCGTTGATGGCATCATGATGCCTTCACAAAACGCAAATGACCTCATGAAACTGTCCACGATTCTTGCTTTCAGCTGATCTACGGCATTTTACCACCGCTACAAAGTTTTGCTACTGAGATGTCTCCTCGAAACAAATGCCGTTCCTTCTGTATGATGTCCACTCCATCCCGTTGCTCTTATAAAAAGATTTTTTGGGTAGCCTTATCATTGTTCTTAAGGTTACTGTATCCAGTGCATAACTCTGATATCAATGACTGGAGAGCTATTCACTGTTTGCTATAACTCCAAAGGATTACACTATTACATTTTCTTCTAAGCAGCGCTAGATTCCCTATATCGTGCGCTGAACTAAAAAAACTGTGGTGATTTTTTGGTTTATATGATCTGATTCCGCTTATTGCGCGGATCCCAGCACTCCCTTCACACGGTATCCGTCATCCAAGAAGGTCTTCCGTGAACTCGACAATTACTTGAGATTTAGTCTTTCTCATGAATATCATTGATTGCCAGACAAGTAGATTCACAGCACATCCACGGCCTTATGTGAGCCGTATCAAGTCTTTCTCAACAAGGCTAGCTCAACTGGACCGTCCTCATAAGAATAAGAGACTTGGTTGGCCCGGTTTATGGTCGATCGGACAACGATCTTGTTGCAGCATTGGTTAGTGCCGCATTTTTCGTAGTAAATTAGACCATATGATAAGTAATTAGATAAGGAGATAGATAAAAGAAGGTAATCCATGCAAACTTTCCATTGCTACTCTCACCTCATATCTTTCCTAGTTATTTTTCATACGCTTCATTCATCCATTATATCTTGTTTTTGCCGGCTTTTTTTCTTGATGATTCGGCAGTTTACTCAAAATTGACAATATTAGTCTCGAGAAAGATTGAAAGTGCAGATAACTAACTGATTCACTGTGTTCTATAGAGGCCAAGAACCAATGCGTTTTTGGGACATGTTTTTCCTCCTTTCTTTCAGAAATGACGAAAAGTAGGTGGAGCAAAAGTAAAAATGGGTTTTCACTTGTTACTCAAAAGGAGAGAAGTAGCTCGTTCACTCTTAGAGAAGCAAATATTGACTAGTACTGCTTTTTCGGATAAACTCGAAGGAAACTGTTTGAATTTATTGACTTCACCGTATATTGCTGGTCTAATTCGTCTGAAAACAAGCGATTCATTGCCTTTATAATTATGGGCACATATTTTTATTGTAAGTGCGTATCGTAAAGAGGACAGGTATGATAGCACAGTAGATAGATGTGCTCTAGAATAGACACATGGTCTTCGGTTCCATCCTGCTCACACTTACCAAGACTTCCGTCTCCTCGGACTACGCAAATCGGTACTCAATTTGGTCAAAGGGATAAAAAATTGAGTTGATTCATTGGTAGTTTCACTTAGTTTATTCAGTAAAGGACAAATTTGCATTCACTTACCTCTACGATGATACAAATAGAAGTTGGTCAATCTTTACGAGCGAATGATCATTCGTCATCGACTGAAAGCTGTGCGAGCTTCATCTCTTCTCTTTTTCCATGCAAAACGATGTTTTTCTTGACATCTTTCTTTTCGTAATCCGTTTCTCGCGATATCTACCAGTGCAGCTGTCGTTTCGCATTATACTCTCATCATAACTCTCGTCATCTACCAACATTTCATGCTCTCTTTTTTCGTTTTTCTTATTCTTTTTTCTGAATTTCAGTGCCGTCAATGTACCCGTGATGCTGTTCACTGGTACGCTCCGAGTGCGGGTTCTTGAGGCTCGAGGTCTTCGACCAACTGAATGGTCACGTCGATTCAGTCAGAACGAAACGGTAACCGTTCTCCGGTGTTTTTCCTAATTGATATTCGGTTTATTTAGCAAATTTGAGTGTTATATGTTCATAATAATTAGACAAAAGTAGCACTGAATTCTAAGTCGAAGCAAACGATAATATCACATCTGAAATTTTTTTCGTTTTTTTTCTCTGCATAAACTTGACCATAGAATACATTCATTTTTCACATGTGTTTATACAGCTCATCTTTTCAAAATCAACATAGTAGATGAAAAAATAGGGCCGATCTAAGACAAGAAGGCGGAGGACAAAAAGAGTGCAATGAAGTAATGGAATATCGTAAAGGCGGTTCATTTTCAAAGGCTGTAACGACTGCAAATAAGGTTAATTCTGAGATGTCTAGTTCTAAAAACCAATAGTGAAACTTATTTGCTTGATTCAACTTATGTAGCATTAAATAAAACGGCGTGTAGCGTAGTATATAGTGTAGCAGTGTACCAGAAAGCAAGGTGATAAGCAATGGCTTGAGGCGATTCTTTCCCAAACACTCTTGCATACAATTAACTTAACGCTTAGGGATGCCTTAGCTTGATTACCGCGAAAACTTCGACGTCTCTGCATTCTACGACATTCATAGAGAGGACGAAAGCCTTAGCCGGAAATCGAAGCAAGATTTGAAAGAGAAGACATCTGTGAAGAATGAATGTGAGGAAATAAATGAATCCAGAAATGCTGGGACCAGCGCAGCGAATGTGATAACGAGTCGGCTCAGATAGAATAAATAAATACTAATACATTGGTCCATATCTTCTCTGTTATGTTCATCCACAGTCTAAACAGGTGGGCAAACCTGGAAACATATTCTCTTTCTGCATCTCTGACCGCTCTCCTTTTGTCTTCAACGTGCAGGTTGAGCGGTTAGCAAGCGCTATTCACATCGTACAAAATTTTTTTCTCTCGTTTAGGATTTTTGATGTGTTTTTAAAGTATTCCTGTCCATTTAATTTTCATGACTTTTCTACTGTTTCGTAAGAAATAGGCTCCTTATGGGTTTCATCTGCTGTTCACTCACTAAAATTACATGTATCTGAAAGAGCGACTCCAAGCACTTATCGTTATTTTTTTTCTCACTGTTGATA